TTTGCTGAGTGAGAAAGAAGCTTATGTTGGTGAACTCGTACAAACGCTTACTCATACCCAATAAGATCTCCGTAAGTCTTCTAATAAGGCCAGTTTTTTAGAAAGTTCATTCACTCCTTTGCAAGTTTCTTATGATTCTACCTTGGCTGAGAATGAAAAACTTAAAAACGAGATTGATCAATGGGAAAAAGATTACGAGATTCTTGAGGACAAGACTGCAATTGAAGTGAGTTGGGCATTTTTGAACACTCGTCATGATACCCTTGCGCAAGCTAGCCAAAAGGGCTTTAACTTGGAGGCTGAATTAGCTAAGATAAAAGAAACTATTGAAAAGACTCAGCAATGCCAAGATTTTCCCTCTCACATGGCTGATACTCCCGAGCATATTGAAGATGATATGGGTATGGTGAATGCTCCAACTCCTTCAAGCCAACTCAAACCTTCTGCTGCTGGTGACCCTGCTCTAGATCCTTCTTCATCTCCTCAATGACAAGTTTATGATATGTGACTCCCCTTTTTTTGGTGGAATGTGGTTTTAACCCTCTGCCCTATTTGGGGGTTTAGTTTTTGGAAACAACAAGTTCCCAGACCTTTTTGGGGCGTTTTGTATAAATGACCAATAGTTTATGGCTAAGTTCATACTTAGTCTAGACTTTTTAATATTAAGAAGTTTTCCATTTTGACTTAGTTATTTTGAGCTTCTCTTTGGCTCATTCTTGCCTTTATATTCAAGAATTTGTTTGAATAATTCGCACTTTTATCTCATAAAATGCTTTCGTAACTTCATGAATGTTTAAGTCAAACATGAATTTTATAAAAGAGAGCCCTTTTATATGCGACACTTAATGAAGAAGACGTCTCAACTTCATAATGGTGCAAATGTACGACAAAAGAAATAGGAACACACATGTTTCTTGAAATAACTTTGATAAAGTTTTTATTTGAACTTTGTCAATAACATCTTACATGCATTTAAATGACTTCTATAACTTTTTTGTAACTATTTTCTGTACAACATATTTCAAAAAAGAAAATAAACACGAGGTGTTTATTTATAACCCGTTTCTATACATTGCCTTTAACCTAACTATGATAAGGTTTTCTTTGGCTTTATGTTATTGGCTCGTAACTTTGCTCTGCACTTGATTCATTCAATGAGTAGACTTTTCGGGCTTTGACTTGAACTTTGATTATATCTCAATCTTCTTTGCCTTCTTTACATATATGCCTATGTATTTATATAGTCCCCCAAGTGTTTGAGCTTTGAAGTATAAAGTCTCAAGCACTTGATTACTCCTCTTATTTGGTCTTTTTCCTGAAAAGGAAGAAACATACGGGACTCGGAGGTGCGATTATAGATGAAGACTGCTTAACCCGTCTGAATTTCTATCAAAATAGTTGTAACCCTAGACCGGCAATTTATATTCTTCCATGTGCCTTGCAGGTCGTGATTCATCATTTAGTATGGGTTAGCTTTTTGCCTATCATCTAAAATCGTTAGTAAAATTTTAACAATTCAAAAATAAAATTTTAAAATGAGGATACCTGACCGTGGGTACTCCTTAGAAATAGTATCTCTTCAAGTGAACGACATTCCAATATGAAGGTAATATCTTGCCATCCATTGTTTCCAACTCGTATGCTCATTTCCCTGCGATACCTTGAATCTTGTAAGGTCCTGGACTCAATTTTCCTGCGTTAGCGGCTCTCGTGGATTGAAAAACTTTCTTGAGTACGAAGTCCTCAATATTGAAGTATCTTAGGCGAGCTTTTCCATTATAGTATCGTTCCATGACTTGTTTTTGTGCTGCTATTCTTATTAATGTAACTTCCCTTTTTCCTTCAAGTAGATCAAGGTTCATTCGCATTTCTTCTTCATTAGATTCCTCAGTTGCTTGCGTATACCTCGTGCTTGGCTCCCCTATCTCAACTGGAATTAAGGCTTCAGCTCCATATAACAATGAGAATGGTGTTTCACTCGTACTTGTTTTTGATGTTGTGCGGTACGACCATAAAACACCAGGCAACAACTCTGGCCAATTGCCTTTGGACTCTGTTGTAAACATCAATCTAAGTTGTTGCTGGAAATTCACGCAGACTTTCCTTGAGTCGTCTCGTGGCTTCTGAGCTTTTCTCATTCAAATTACTGGCAAAAGCCACAGCTGCCCAGTTAACAGGTACACGCGGTAATGTCATCCTTTCACGCTGGAACCTATCCACGAACTCTCTAAGAAGTTCGGAATCTCCTTGCTTTATTTTAAAAATATCTTCCATTCTTTTTTCGACTTTTTGAGCTCCCGAATGCGCTTTGATAAATGAATCTGCAAGCTCAGCAAAAGAATTTATAGAATTTTCTGGTAAGAGAGAATACCATGTCAATGCTCCCTTATTGAGTGTTTCACCGAATTTCTTGACCAACACTGATTCAATTTCTTGTTTGGTTAAATCGTTGCCCTTCACACAAGTTGTGAATGCATTCACGTGGTCTCACAGATCAGTTGTGCCATCATATTTTGGAATATCGGGCATCTTGAACTTCTTCAAAATCGGCACAGGAGCAGCACTGGGCTTCCATGGTTGTTGTGAATATTTATCCATGTCTATTCATTTGATTACAGGTGGTACTCCAGGTATTTGCTCTATGCGATTGCTTTGCTCCTTGAGCTACTTTTACAAGGTTAGAACTAAGTTCTATAAATCAGAATTAACTATGTTACCTGGTTCGCCATCACGAGACTTGTTGGGAGTTCCACCAGTGCCTGAATTAACAAGCCCAGAATGTGGGTTTTCCAAAGTATTGTGATTCGGAGTTGGTGTTGGTGGCGCAACTGGCAACTGGCAACTGGCTGGTAAAAGCCCGGAGAGCATTACTGACTTGTTGAGTAATTAGATTCTTTAGAGCATCATCGAGTGCTTGTTCATTCGCAACTCTGTCATTTTGATTTGCCTCAGATCCGTTTTGGTTCGCAATCCTGTTATTTGCTTCAGATCCCTGTGGAGTTCCTTCTCGTGATTGTCATTGTGAATCACGCGGTGAGGGAGGTGGGGACCTGTCGTCCGCATCATTTACTTGATGTTGAGGATCTTGGAGTGGTAAATTGTGTTGGTTATTGTCGTTGACATTCGACATGGTAAGTGTTTTGAATAAAGAATTGACTAAGAAAGCAAACGATTATTAGATTCCCGGCAACAGAACCAATTTGTTTAACCAAAAATCGGAATTTTAGCCAAAGCTTATTTTAGAAGAACTCCGGCTACTGATAATCAAAAATAAATAAGAATAATTGACAAATAACAGCTGAATATAAGAGCAAAGTAAATCAATATATTCCAATAGTATTTCGTGTCCTTACAAATGATCAGTCTTCTCCTTTTATAGCTATCTTTAGGTAATACGTTTCGTTTCTATCATAATAAAGCCATTATTAATAATTAATGGCAATTAATGTAACGTTATAATTGGTAATCATATTTGATTTAGTACAGATTCTCTAACGTTTTCCATATTTAATGCCTATTAGTTATATGTATCTATACCCTTTTTTGCTATCAGATGCATTCTCTTAATACGACCCTCGAGCATCTATCCTTTCTGCTTTTTCTTGAACCTTTGCTCGTGCCTGTTGAAGCTCGGGCCTTTTTGATTGTTCTGCCAATCGTCATCCTTTGACCAATTCACGTGTCATCTTACAATCAATTCCATATATGAACTTAATTTTTCCCAATACAATTAGGTGCCATCACGATATTATAAGGTGTGAAATTGGAATCGTTATAGAACCACAAAAAATTAGACTCAAGGGATACAATTTCATCAAAACCTCGTTTAAATATTGCTTATAGATTGGGAGATATGCGCTTTTGAAGTCAAGCCAATTGGAGAAAAGTCATATTTTATTAACTCAATTCTTCCAAAACATGCAATTAGCATGTCAAGACTTACATGAGCCCCTCGGGACTCCATCCAATTATCCTAATAAGTTCCAATACTCTATGTGACCTTTTCCAAAGGCTCAAAATACCTAAAGGATCATAACACAGCAAGGCTCAAACAAAATAGAATTTTTCTAAAGTTCTTAATGCTTCATTCTTTGAAAGAAGTATCTGAATCACACTTAAACACTTCGGATTACTTCCAACCTTTACACACAAGTTTAATTCAACTATATAAAACTATCCAAAGTCTTGAAATGCCAATCCGAGTCTAGTAACATTAAAGTCAACTTTTTACCAAATATATGAATTCTTAAGTTCTTCCAATTGCCAACTTTTGACATATAGTGCCGAATCCTTCTAAAAATATCAAAAACTCAATCCGAACATATGTAAAAGTTTAAAATTATTATAAAAACCTACCAGAATTATCAAAGCCGATTTTGAGACTGGTTTTTTCAATAGTCAAACGTGTCAACTCTTCTAACTTAAAGCTTCCATTTAGGAACTAAGTGTTCCTCTCACACCTATTGGGGCAAGAATTACCCGTACCGCAAGTCGTAAAACATCAAATGAACATATGAGAAGTCTTAAATCTAGTAAGAGGGCTCTAGAACTCAAAACGATCGGCTAAATCGTCACAGATTATACCTGTGACGGTGCCATGGTCTATAAGTTTGTAACCAACATCTCCAATGTAAGCCTATTCACACAAATTTGTGAAGGGCAGATAACTGTCAGCAAAGTCATAAAGGAATTATATATCCTGAAGGATATTAAACTTGTTCGATGTTATATTACAACTGAAAATCATGTACCCGTTGCTATGAATCTATTAATGGAGTTTCACATCATAATTTAAAAAAGAAAGAAAAGGAAAACCTCAAAATCATCCTTTATTTATACTCTAACTAGATGGGCGTGCCCGTGCTACGCCGGGGTGCCTGATGTATTTTTCCTCTCGCCACTAAAGCAATTACTTTAAACAACCTTTTACTTCAACATTTGTGTATTCAGAACCAAACTTTTTTCTGAGCATGTAATAAGTGTGTGCAAAAAAAGGCATGTAAATGAACTTTGAGAATGGATAAGCAACTAACTCAATTATTCGATCATATAAGATACTTCAAACATTTCTAGTTTAACATTCTGGTAAGTTTTGAGATCACAAAGTATTTCCTAAATGTTCCATTCTCAAATTACAACGCCAACATCATTTGCCCTCAAGCTAAGTAGCAATTGCTTCACTTCCTCTCTGGTGCGTGATAGGAAAGAAGAACCAGCTTTCTTCTGTAGTACCACATGATGTGACTTTTGATAAAATGAACTGCAATTAACTAAAAGTGCACGGTTAAATGTATCAACAAATATGAAACATTTGAATCATGTCCCAAAGTCACATTGAAATTCCTCCTAGACAATTAAATTCTAAAAAGAACTAACCTTCAACTTGTTCTCCAATATTAGCTCTATTAATATATATAGAGGATTAGTTTGACGGAAGTAAGCCAGGTCTTCCCTGACTCTCCAATGAATTGCTTCAGTTTATGCAGCTTAACAAGGTCATAATTCTAATTTTTCAATAAATTATTCTCTTCCTGTGATGTATATAAAAAACCAATGAGGATGAGTGCTGTTGCGAAAAATAACATTTTTATGAAGGATGATCTTGAGAGTATGGTAAGTCTAAGCTTTGTTACAAAAGTACTAACCTTAAATTATAATGATGTTGGAGGTTTTTCTGACTGGACAACTTCTTTATTTCGATGACACTCTTCTAATGATTTTTGATAAGGATCCTCTTCTTGTGATCAAGATTCTCCATCTGAGAAAAGGTTCGGAATATAATAGTTAATAGTAACAAACTGGTGAGGTGTAATAATAGATCAACAACAATAAAATTTTAACCTATATCATTGAGGTGTAATAATAGATCATTGTATTCGCTCACTCGCTTCTTGAAGACTTTTCCCTTTTCCCTCTAGATGCATGTACACATAGGTATTGAAATAATTAGAAACCTAAATGGGTCTTATATTTGAGAATTCATGTCACATTGTAAAGTTGTTAAAAACTTTTCCAATCAGCATCACTGCTCTTTACATTGTTCATTTGTTTCTTGGTGGCATGAAATTCAAGTTCAAGCTCCCCTCTCTGTAAATGCTGGTTTTCAGTTCTCCTCTGACTATATCAACCTATATAATGGTAAATCATGTCATTAGATAAATAAATATAGTAGAAATAAATAAAGTAAAAAGATTCACTCTCGTTGTATCCTAGTTATGTACTAATAAGCAATTTCGCCGCAGCTTCTTTGAATTCTATCAAATATATAAGTTGGCTCAGCATCACTTTTCATTTTCTCTCATTCGTCATTCCATTTTCTTCTTATCATCCTTGTGCACCTCCATGTTCCATTGTAAGCACACACATGCTTGATTATAGTTTTCTTTAAATCTTACGAATTTAATTCAACATTCATACTTTAACATAACCTAAAAGATCAGAAAGTCAATGCAAATAAAATCCAGCAATTCAATCCAAAAACACATATTATACCTCATAGAAAGATTGATAAGCACAGTGATAAATACCACATGTATTGTTTACTGATACAACTGAGTAGAAGTAAATAATGTACCTTCCAGAGGACTCTGTTCTAGAATACCTGTAAAAAAAATAAATTATTCAGTTGTTTCAACTTTCAGCCATATGTCAAACACCTTGCGTAAATTAGTGTGCACAATGTTGTTTTAGTGACAATCAACTCATTAGAACCTCATATTTTCAAGTGCTTCTCAAACATTCTTCTTCAACATTTATTCCCTTTGCATAGATAAATTCATCACAGTATTAGTGTTTCTAGAGTAATGTCAACTACCAATTTACCCATAATCACTATAAATTTTCTGTAAAATGGATTAATTTGGCAGTAATTAGTTTGTAACCAAAGCGAATACTGACAAACGCCATTAAAGGATTTTGGTCAGTAATTTCTCAAGCAGACACCATTAGAGAATTAATCAAAAGAGAAATCAAATAAGAGTTATTCAAAATTACTCATTGGAGTATCTATCTAGACATGCATGTGAATTTCAGATAAAAATACTGATAGAGTGATACACATTTAAGAATCTAGCAAACGTTTTTCCACAAATAAGTCAAACAAAAAAAAGATTAATTGGAGAAAAAACGTACCACAACTGAGAGCTTATACCAGAGACGAATTAGACAAACGGACAACCTTGGCAAGAATTCTACAAATGAATAAACTTTGAAAAAATCCAGTGATAGAAATTTGGAAATAAGAGAGAAGAAGGTGCGGGAACTAGTGTGTAAAAGAGCATGACTTGTAGTGAGACAGGTATTTATTTTTCACGGCTGAAAGACGCGATTAGAGTTTAGCCACAAAGAAGCTTATATTTACGGCAATGCCCTTCGTCGTTCAAGAGGACCTTTACTTATTTTATATAGTTAAAAATTTCCCCACAGAAGATGACGTGCGTGAGAGGCAGCTTGTGCTTAATAACCTTATATCTGGCCCTTTACATGTATACCTTGCGATCTCTAGCTGATTTAAAACTTAATTATCATTAGTTTTACACGACAATTAGTTATCTTGCTAGATATTTTTTATATATTTACCGAACGATTTTGAAAAATAAGAAGTACTCAGTTCCTAATTTCACTTTATGTGACAATGCTTGATTCATGATCAAAGAGTTTAGAAAGAAAGAACGATATTTGGAACTTGGTTATTTTAAAGGGTTGTACCATATTTACAAAAAAAGGTTATGTTTGTTTACCCGTAAAACGGTACAGTTGAATTTGTAACGTGATTTATAGACACGTTAATTACTTTGATCCAAGAATATAAAATAATTAAGAACAAAAATAAATTAATTAAATAAACTTGAATAAAATATAAGCCTCGATATATGACGAAGCTCTCCAGAAGCAATAATAAGAACAATATCAAGAAAAAAAGAGAGATAGAGAGAGTAGTTTTATTGAATAAGAGCATATTTTAGCTTTTGTGTACAGATAATTTTTTATCTCCTGTAATGAATGCAAATTAACCTATTTATAGCTCAATTCAAGGAAACAACATCCCCAAATCTAGCTCTTCTTTAATGTGAATAAAACCCCTCTTCATGGTTGTATATCAGTTGAACGTTAATATAGAACGTTAATATAGAGATTATTTTAATGGCTGCTCATTGAATACTATTTTTTCCAACCGGTGTCTTCCTTTCAAATCTTCGTTCTCGGTTCCAAAGCCTTCGGAACTTATTCAGACCAGTCACATGTTTGTATCCGGTGCAACCTAGTTGCTGACTCATACCTTACCTGTTTTTAATTCCACGTGTCAACTCGTTGGGCATCCATATATTATTTACCAATTTTATCCCATACCGATATTTTTCCTACTTTTTGGTGGCAAAACTTTGTGTTACCGGAAAGTAGATAACATCCTTTTTCTTGGCGAGAAAGTTCATGAACAGTTTCTGACACTTGAAGGGACACATGTCTCCTTGCATTTAATGAACCGAACATTTGTTATTCCGTGGTTTGGTAATCATGACCATGAATTCTGTCGTCTATAAACTTCTCCAATGCTAATCACTTTTACCTTTCACTTTTACAAACATCTCTTCTTCGAGCTTTCTAATAACCCAACTGCAAAAACACCTCTTTCTTAGTAAAATCTTCTTACTCAATTTTCTTACCACCACATCTTCTACTATCCCTGTCCTTGAAAACTCTATCCTTATCATAGGTGGTGTCCCTTCTAAAAGGAACAATACTCAAGAAGTTGATGCCGAAGCTGAACCTCCTACCATCAACACAATCATACCTTCCCACCTACATTCTGAATTTGTAACGATTCGACTGGTCGTTTTGAGTATTATAGCCTGTTCCCCCATTTATTGTTTATTCTATATTTTTTGTTTTTATTTGACTTGCCGGGGTAGTTGGTTCGATTTTGTGGATGTTTCGAAATAAATTGAGATATTTAGTCTCAATGTTGGAAACCTAAGTTGAAATAGTTGACTGGATGTTGACTTATGTGTAACTAACTCTAGAATGGAGTTTTAATGATTCCGATAGCTCTGTATGGTGATTTTAGATTTAGGTGTGTATTCGGATATTGATTTGGAGGTCCGTAGGTGATTTTCGCTTGAATTGGCGGAAGTTGGAAAAGTTGAAGTTTGGAGAGTTGAGAAGATTGACTGAGAAATGACTTTGTGGTTACTAGGCTCGGGGTTTTAGTTCTGGAAATTGGAATAGGCCCGTTGTGTCATTTATGACTTATGTGCAAAATTTAAGTTCAATCAGAGTTGATTTGGTGTGTTTAGGTATTTATTTCTGAAATTGGAAGTTCAATAGCTCATTGGGCTTGAATTGGCATGCGATTTGTGTTTTGATGTTGTTTGATGTGATTTGAGGATTCGACTAAGTTCATATGATGTTTTAGGACATGTTGGTATGTTTGGACAGGGTGTCAGGGGCCCGGGTGTGTTTCGGATTGAGTTTGGGCCAAATTCTTGATACAGGATTGCTGGTTTTCTGAGTCTCGTTTCCTTCATCGCATTCGTGGAAGAGGTTCCGCGATCATGTAGATCAGTTAGTGGCACATGGAATTTTACTCTTCGCAAACGCGAAGTACGGGTCGCAATCATAGCGTTTGAGGTGATTGTTAATCGCGAACGTGTGAGATGTACCGCGTTGGCGTATAAGGGAGGTAAGGCTGGGACTGGTCATCACGTTCGCGACTGGCTTCACGCCATCACGAAGAAGGTTTTATGAGCTAGGGAGATTTGTTCTCCGCGATCGTGAAGAAGGGCATCTGGGTAGCAGTTCTTTATTTAAAAATCGAGGGTTTAAACCAATTTTTTATATTTTAAGTTAGAGACCTCGGATTTGGGTGATTCTTGAAGGGATTTTCTAGGAGTTGATTGGGGTAAGTGATTTTATATTAGTTTTGGTTTCTATATATGAATCTATAATTATTTTTACCATTTAATTAGTTTTTTAGGTTGGAAAATTTGGGTGAAACTTCATAGACCATTATTTGAGGATTTGAAGGTCGAGTTGAGATCGAAATAGAGTAATTTTGGTATGGCTGGACTCGTTATTAAATGAGTGTTCGAATTTTATAAATTATGTCAGATTTCGAGATGGGTCCCGGGGTTAACTTTTTGACTTTGGTTAAAGATCCTAACTTTATCATTTGAAATTAATTCCTATAGCTTATATTGATAGTATTACGTTAGTTTTGGCTAGATTCGAGTCTTCCAAAGATTGATACGCATGGGAAGGGCTTGCTAGCAAAGTGATTTGATTTGTTTGAGGTAGGTTTCTTATCTAAACTCGGTTGAGGCACTAGTTGCTTAAATTGTTGTGATAGATACATGCTTTTGGGTGCGCACATGCGTGGTGATGAACACATATGTATACACCAGGTTATTTATTCATGTTCGAGTTGTTCTCAGACTCTCATAAGCTTAGAATTTGAATGTTAAACCTTTAACTATGATGCTTCGCACATTTCTGACATTGTTGTGAACTATTTAGGTCATGTTTGAGGCCACATAGTGATTTAATCCCTTAATGAATTATCCTTTGATGAAAATTGCCGATTTGAGCTATGATAGTACACTTGAACATACCTACACTTTAGCATGTCGTTTATACTAGTCCAGGAGCATGAGATTTGTTATTCACTCATTTCATACATTTATACTTGTTTATTTGCTCCTATATAATATGAATGGATTGGGTGCCTGTGACCATGCCAGGCGGATTAAGATATTTTGCCTGTGACCATGCCGGACAAATTTTGTTATTATGCGTGTGACCACGCCAAGCTAATTGTGTTGTTATGCCTGTGACAATGCCGAGTAGATTGTGTTGTTATACCCGTGACCACACCGGTTGGATTGTCTTGTTGTGCCTATGACCATGCCGGTCAGATTATGATATTGAGCCTGTGACCATGCCGAGCTGGTAGCATGTTGAATTGACCATGCTTGCGTGTGGATATGGATCCACCCCCTAGTGTCACCCTCTCATGTTTCTCTCTTTGTCAAGACACAAACCGATGGGCCATGGTGGGTGCTTGAGTCCTGCCTGTCAAACACTCCTAAGCATGCATCTAAGATATGAACCTGAATAACATCTGCTGCATTACGAAAATAACAAACATGAAGGAAAAATGCCATCAAGGCATACGTACGTATACATGCAGAATACAGTGGGCGAGCCGTCAAGGCCGCTACAGACAACCATACATCCAAAATTGAAAGCTAACAAGGTCACACATAACCCAACTAGACATACTGTCCACATACTTTTAACAGAAACATAATTATACGAAGATGGGATTGAGCCACATCAANATATATATATATATATATATATATATATATATATATATATACATATATATATACAAATGTATCGAAACAAGATCAAAAGCAGCTCCGGATCAAATGGAGTACGCCAACTCTTGCTGATCAGGGATTCTAAAATGGGGGACCGTCAGCTTGCCTACCTACACCTGCGGGCATGAAACGCAGGCCCCGTGAAATAGGGAGTCAGTACGAAAAATGTACTGCATATGTAAGGCATGAAAATTAGCATGTAAAAGACATAGATAAAACATGGAATACTGAAACACATCTTTAAATATGAATAACTTTGTAAATTCTTAAATGTTTATAACATCATGCACATGCATAAAAATGTCGTGTCATGCATAGGTATGAGTGTACATAATATCATCAAGCCACTAAGGGCATCCCATCATATCGTCTCGGCCACTGTGGGAACATCATCAACATGTACCAGCTGATCAGGTGGTGGTGCGTATATAACGTCATAACCTTTTTCCATATCCCATATCCTATATCCCATATACATACATATATAAGCGTATATAGCACCGTCTGAGTCATATTTCAGCCACTGTGGGCAACATAATCATTATATACCAGCTGAGCAGGTGGTGGTGCGTATATAATACCGTAACCTTTTTTCCGTGTCCCATATAAATATAATATACATATATACGCGTATATAACGACATCTGGTCATGAGTCAATGCACATGTATAAATGGGTGAAATGCATGAAAAATACATAATAATCTTAATATTCCTTCCGGATAACCTTTTTCAACAAGCGTATTATTCTGAGACCCGTGAACAGGAAATAATAATATTTTTCATGGGAAATCAAGAATATAGATACCCCTAATAATTCTATTAATAGAGTAATTTATGGAAACTGTATATTTGCTCATTTTTTCAATATA